CAAGTAACAGCGCCAACCCTTAAATGCATGCACGATCGTGAGCATTTCGCGGTCATGTATCGGGTAATTCTTCTCGGGCGGATGCAGTTTTCGTGACTTGTATGCGATGGGCTGTAGGCCGTTGCCGAAATTCTGTAGCAGTACGGCTCCAATGGCGATGTCGCTTGCGTCTGTAACCACTTCGAATGGGCAGTGTGGGTCGGCGATGCGCAGTACGGGCGGTGAACAGAGAACAATTTTCAGGGTAGAGAAGGCAGCATGCTCTTTCTCCCCCCACGTAAAAGCGACCCCCTTCCGCAGCACATCCGTCAGTGGGGCAGTTAATCATGCCATGTCGGGGACGAACCGTCGCACTTAATTAACAAACCCTAAAAAACTCTGCAGCTCCGTGATATTTGTCGGGGGGGTGCCACGCTTTTACCGTGTCCAGCTTCTTTGGGTCGATCTCAACTCCAGCCTCCGAAATAACGTGCCCAAAAAAATCTAACCTATCCTGGAAGAACTCGCACTTGGAACCCTTGGTCAGTAGTCTGTGCTCGTCTAAAATTTTAAACATTGCTTCCATATCTGCTAAGTGCTGCTGCTTATCACGACTGTAGACTAGGATGTCGTCGAGGTAGACTATCACGCATTTATCTAAGAGCGGCCTAAAGGCCTCGTTCATGGTCATCTGAAATGTCGCCGGTGCGTTGGTCAGCCCGAATGGCATCACGGTGTACTCGAATGAACCGTACCTAGTCCTGGATGCTGTCTTGGCGCAGTCCGATGGTTCGACCCTAATCTGATGGTAACCTCCCCGTAAGTCAATTTTCGAAAAAACAATCCGTGTTGTTCGCAGCTGATCTATTAGTTCGACGGCGCGGGGGATGGGGTATCGCGACTTGACAGTTACCCGGTTCAGTGCTCGGTAGTCGATACACATGCGAAACCCTCTGTCTTTTTTCGGTGTGAACAGTATCGATGCGGCGAACAGGGACGAGCTTGGTCTGATAAATATTTTTTCTAACAGGTAATCTAACTACTTCCTCAGTTCGTCGAGCTCGGGATGTGTCAGTCTGAACTGTCGCTGTACGGTTGGCTGTGCCCCCGGTTCTAGTTCTATGCGGTGGTCGTGTGCCCGCTGAGGTGGCAACCCCTCCGGCAAATCGTCCGGAAAAATCCCCGGGTATCGTTTCAGTAGTTCCTGTAGTTCGGGCGGTACGGCTGCCAGCAGTTTATGAAAATCGCTCGGCTGCTCTGCTTCTCCTACCAATGCAATATCCACCGCGTACACGTCAGCTCCAGCGGTGACAGCCTGTTTCATTGTGATGGCGTTGACGTGGACTGTCGAAGACTCAGGTGACTGCCAGCGATGTAATTTGACCCAGTTACCACTACTTCGCACAGTGCAGCTACCCGCCGTCCAGTCAATTCGCGGATTGTAGCGTCGCAGCCAGTCATGTCCCAGTAAAATGTCATGCCCATCCAGTGTCGTCGCGAGCATTACCTGTGTAAACCCGAAGTTTCCCCCGCAGCGAACTTTCACCCTCTCCACTTTCTCCCGTATTGCCAGTGGCGTGCCGTCAACTAGACGTGCATCAATCTCCGGTAAACAGCAACTAAGTGTCAGTTGCAGCTTCCGTGCAGTTGCGGTATTAACTAAGCTATGGCTTGCTCCTCCGTCTATAAAAATCTTCACTGTTGTCCCCTGTATTTTCCCGTAAATCAGTATTGGGCAATCCGTCGCTGTACCCTCCTTATTCATCCGAGCCCGATCGATGGCGTGAATCGGTACTATGACTCGGTGAGGGTCGGTGAGGTTGGGCGAGCAGGTTGTCTCGTCACTAGTTGGCCCGTTTTCTACTGACTGCTGGTGTTTCCCTGCCTCTAAGACTCCCTCCCCTGCTCTGCTCCGCGGCATCTCTTCTCCTCTGGGCATTCGCTCTTGCGATGGCCCGACCTATTGCAAGCAAAGCAGCACCCCTTAAATGGCGTAGCAGCTGCATTTGCCGCAACGGCGTGTACGGTGGCGTGCTCGGTCGGTCCCCGAGGGCGATGTCCGTAGTAAGACCCCGGTCTCGGACGACGCAAAATGCCGATTTTCTTGGCGAGCGCGAGGATCTCGTTGAAATTCGATAGCCCGCGTAGCATGATTTTGTGCGAGACGTCCGGCTTCAGCCCTCTGACGTAACGGTCCACCCGCTCCGCTTCGTGCATGTAGCCGACTTGCTCGCATAGTGCGAGAAAACCGCTCGTGTAATCTTGGACCGACCCAAGTTGTCGCCAAGTACGCCGTTTCTGACGCGCTGAGATAGAAGCCGCGATCGGCTCGAAGCGCGCCCGAAGCCCTGCGCACCACGCATCCCACGTGCTGTACTGGGCGGTTTTGCATAATGAACTCCAGGTGACGGCTGGACCCGTGGGCCCTTCCTCTTGCGACGGTGGCTCGTAGGCGCGTGGCGACGTCACGATGACTCGCCACCAGTCTATGGCGGGGCCCCGTAGCAGCGAAATGGCGTATCGTATCTTCGCTGCGTCCGACTCGACGTAATTTGTGTCGAAGAAGACGTTCATCGTGAAGACCCACGATTGAACCGTCGGACCTCCACGTTGGCTGGGGTCGAAATAGGGTGGGCGTTGCGGTTTGAGCGGCATCGGTGCAACGATGTTGTCGTTACCGCTTGTTGCTGCAAATTCGACGTTGCGACGGGCTTCGCGAGGCCCGCTCGTGCTTGGTGCGGCCCTGTTTCTCTCCATGCCGGGCATTGATTGGGCGACGCCATCACTGGCTGCGCCTGAGCGCTGTCCCACGCTGTCGTGGTGAGACGGTGTGCCGGATGAGATGACAATCGGCTCATCCGATTGCGCAGGTGCATTTGCAGGTGCTTGTGTTGATGCTGGTGCATTCACCGTTGATTGCTGGCGGGCGGAGTCACGTTCCGCCGTGAGTGTCGCGATTTCGAGCGCCGAATCCTCGAGTTGGCGGACGAGCCGGTCGAGTTGCTCCTGCATCAACGTCGCGAGATTGAGGTCGGCCATGGCGGGGGCGTCGGGCAAGCTCAGCGAGAGCCTCAGTCGTGGCCGTGCGTGCTTTCGAGAGAGCACTTCGAGCGGCGGTGCCTGAATGCTGAGAGACGTCTACCCCCTCCAAAAATTGAGATAGTGGGGAAGCGAAGGTGTGGGTGCGGTCCAAGAAGAGATCGTAGGCTCTGAATACCAAGTGTTACGAGTGCAATTGAGCGAGCGAGTGAGAATTGCACTATCGAAGCAAAACAATACATGAAGCGAAAGCATGAGCGAAGAATATATAGCGAAGCTAGCGTGGTAACGGTAACGCGAGAAATTGGGGTGCGCTACGGGCCTAGCGCCAAGGTTGGGAAATGTCGAGGCGAAGGTCCGGAGAGTGGGTTACCAAACCGAACCGTGAGATTGGGTCGCATCGTGAACAGTGGCGAGAGTCGTGGTTGTTGAAATAAAGAGGTCGCTAGAGTAGCGGAAATACTCTAGGAATTAACGATGGTCACTCAGAGGTAGCTCTCGTGGCTTGTAACTTGGTGCCAGAGCGGCGGCCGAGGGTAGGCCGGACACAAGGATGAGAATTGTGTAATAATAGCATGGCAATACATTGGAATATATAGGAAACAGGTAGGCAGGTAGTTACCAAGGCGCAACTGTATTACAGTTGCGCTGTAACGTTTCAGTTGCCCAGTTACTGTCGAGCTGGCGAGATCCTTCAGCTTCGGCAAGGGCGCGGTATTCTGCCGCTTCCCCGGGGTGGTTTCGCGCACTGTAGACGCTGCCTCCTGCCCGAATCTGACCCTTCAGCTGCCACGCGGGGCGCAACCACTGTACGCGGATGCGCCCCTGCAGCTCGGAACTGGAGTCAACATACTCGATACTGAGGTACTCGCTGCTGCACTTCGAACAGTGTACTGCATAAGAATATTCCGTAAAAACATATTCGCAACAGTGGTCGAGGCGAGTGTCGCGAGCGGGTAACGTTTCACTGTTGGGTGCTGATGGCGGGAATGGTCATGTACGCGGTAAGGAGCGACGCGAAGTACGGAAAATGAATTTTCTTTACAACTCTTTTATATCAAGAATCACCCACCCACCTCTTGTCACTGGTGATCTACGCACCCGTCCTGTCTGTCGTTAAAACCCGAGGTCCATAGGTTTCAAGGGTAGGAAGGTTGGTTGGACCTGGTGCCCCAACCAAAGGTAGGAAGCTTGGTTGGACCTGGTGACCCAACCAAAGGTAGGAAGGTTGAGGTAACTTTGGGGAACTTGTGACTCCGGTTTTAAATGCACCATCCCGCACCCGCACTTGTATTTTTGCTCGAACTCCTACCCAAACGTTCTACAATGGTTAACAGCCGCTTTGAAAGAGGAAGCACCTGACAGCACCGCATCAAGGGAACTCTTATGGCACGCCTCAGCTAAACTCTACCCCGGTACAGGACTAGAGATGGGATGAGAACTCGGAACGCCAGTGTCGCTATCCCATCACCGCACAAGCATAACTCTGTTCATTCTCGCCAGCCCGTGTGGGCCTCCGCTTCAGGGCGAACGCAAAGGCGATTATTCCAACACTCGCCCGCCACACTCACCAGACTCGCCATACCATACTGATTTATCCATAATTGCCACACGGTGCGGCACAATAGTCTGTGTCCCGCTATCCATGCATCAGCGGCGGTCGGCGTTTACCTGTGAAAGCAGAATCGACATAGTCTGACCGCCCGAGCAAAATCGAATTGAGATCAGTATTTGGCGCCCGATTTTCTCGGTTCCCTCCGATCCGCGATTCCCCATCGGCTCCCAGTTTGGGGACTCGCTGTCGAATTATCCTTCCGCGATCCGGATCACAAGAACGTTCCGACCAGTGGGTGGTTCTCTTGCGCTCCCACCTCCGCTCCGCCATCCCCGCGTCTCTCCTCCTCGCGCGCCTCCCCTCGCGCTTTTCTCCTCGCGCGCCTCCCTTTCGCGCGCCCGCAACGGGCGCACTCCGCAGGTCCCCCATGGGCGCGTTTTCCGCGCCGTCGCGGTGGTGCGGTGCGTGGCGCGCGCGCGTTCTCTCCGCGCTGCCGCTTGTGGTTGTCCTAGTAGCGCTACTAGGGGAGGATGCGCTACTCGTTATAGCCACCACCAATACTCCGACGCTCCATGGTAACTTGCATGATTGTAATAATTCACTTGCATACTCATTAATAATAATCATTTGAGTTCCGAGAGCAACGCCTTACTTCCTTCCGCGCATCCGAGCTTCTTGCTGCTATTCCGCCCCCATCCTTCCTTTTTCTCTTCGTCCGCCATATCTCCCTCGACCCCTCCTCTCCCTCCCCCCACCCCCCCCCCCCCCCCCCCCTCCCTTCCCTTCCCGTTCCCTTCCCCCTCCCGCCCCGTCCGTCCACAGAATGCGACCCTGCCATTCTCTCCGCCTCCTCCTTCTCTCCTTCCCCCGCGACGCCCCTCTCCCCTTCCCGCTACCAGCGCGCGGAGGGCGCGTGCTGGAGCCGCGCGGAGCTACCCTGCTACGCGGGCGCGCGGGGGACCCCCGAGCGCTCCCCCGCGCTCAAGCGCAAAATACACGCGTACCACGAGTACCTCCGCGCGTGCAGCAGCCGCGAAACCGTCGAAGCCGTCAAGGCTAAGCTGCTAGCCGGCAACGCGACGGACTGCCGTTATCTCTTCTGGCACATGAAACTAGGCGACGGCCAGGGCAATCAATACATTTCCTTCATCTCCTCCTTCGTCTACGCGCTCCTGACAAACCGGATCTTCCTTTTATACACGGATATGGGGCCGGGGAAGGTGATGTGTGCCCCGTTTGAGGGCATGGGCGAGCGGTGGCATCTGTTCAATGGGAGTATGAAGTCGGTTGACCTCTATCTGTCGTCCGTGGTGGCGCGCAAAGGGATGCAGTTCTTTCCAGAGCGGTTGGATGTGCTGGTTAATGGTACCAGTGGCACGAATGGCACCATGCCGGCCCCGACCATGTGAGTGTTGAGTTGTGGTTGTTTTTCAGTGGCAGTGGCAGTGGCAGTGGCAGTGGCAGTGGTCAGTCTCTGCTTTTTAAATGGTCAAACTTGTCTCGTAACATGCTCCATACCATTCCGTATTGCCCACACCATAACACCCCCACTCCCCACCATTCCAAACCCCGCTCCCACTCCCATCCAACCCCCAAACCCTCTCTCCCCTCCTTCCAGAGCCAACATCCCCATCTACCACAACACGCCAAACACTTCCCTCTTCTTCTGCGAGTCAGAGCAAGCCTTCCTCGCCACCATCCCCTCGCTCATCCTCCTCTCCAACCAATACTTCCTCCCGGCCCTCCTCCACGTGCCCTCCTTCCGCCGCCACCTCAACGACCTCTTTCCATCCGGCCGCATCTTCCAAACCGTTTCCCAGCTCATCATGTTCCCAAAGAACTCAATCTGGGCGGCTGTAACAGAGAATATCCGAGCCCGTGCGCTCCCGGCGGCGGCTCGCATCGGGCTGCAGTTCAGGCATGCGTCGGAGCTAGCCATGCGCCATGCTGTCATGTGTATTACCCGCCTGCAGCAGCACCCCGTGCTTGTGGAGGCTCGGGCGAAGAGTGCAGGGGCGGGAGGCGCAGGGGTTGCGGGGGAGGTGGCTGCTGGTGATGGTGGTGCTCCTGGGGGGATTGAGAGTGGGGGGGATGCTGCTGGGGGAGGGGGGACTGGGGGAGGTGGGGCTGTTGGGGTGGTAACGGGGGGAGCTGGTGTGGAAGCAGGTAGTGCGGGGAACGGAGGAGAAGGAAGGGGGTTGATGGACGGCCTGGGGGGGTTATCTGGTGGGACTGTTGTGGGTGGGGCCGGCAGCAGTGCAGGCAGCAGTGGCAGCAGCACAGGCACCAACAACACTGATGTTGATGCAGCAAGGGGCACAACAGTTATTCTGATCGCGAGTCTGAATCAGTATGCGCCGTTCAATCTTTCCCAGGTGCTCTTTCCCAACGTCACCTCTGCAAGCCTCTCTTACAGTAAAGCCACAGTCACAGGTGGTATGAGCATTAGCAGCAACAGCAGCAGCGGCAGCATCAGCAGCGACAGCAGCAGCAACGGCATGGCAACAACTCCAGACGGTGAAAACAGCACCGAGACGGCCAATTCAGCCCTCAGTGACACCAGTTTATCTCCTTCTGACAACAACAACAACGCCACTCTTGACAGCAACAGCACCGCTCTCAACACCTCAAGCAGCAGCACTGCCGTCACCAGCGCTGGAACCACCATGACCAGTCTAGTTACTCCGCTAGCCACCAGTTTCTCACCCATCGATCCCACAAGCAGCAGCGCCAACATCACTGAGAGCAATATCATCCGCAACGGGACCCTCTCTTTGGACCGAATTACTACTGAGGTTTCGCAATCTGGACTGGATGCTGAGTTAGAGCATGCACTAGTGGATATCTATTCCCTTGCCTTAGGCTCGGATGTCATTCTCACCTCCCCCGCCTCCACCTTCGGTTATCTCCTCTCTTCTCTCTTCGGCCGGCCGTCTTTCTTTGTCGCGGCTAGCTGCCAACAGATGCCACTCGAGCCGTGCTTCCAGCACCCTCCGCATGGGTTCAAGTGTCCTAGTGGGGAGGTTATTGGGGAGGCAGACTCGTTTAACAGATCGGATCCAAATTTACCATTTGAGCGCTGTCCCGATAATGTTAATGGATTGTCCCTTATTGTGGGGCATTAAAAAATAGAGAAATTTTCTTCATTGTGATTCTTCCCATTCTAAAGCAGAGGCTCCACACGTGTCGCCAGGGTGGGGGGATTCAATAGATTGGAATCTGTCGCCTGCGGCATAGTCAGAAAATCCCAATGGCCCACTTATTGGTAGTAATGACTAGCTTAGGCCCTTGATACTGTATATGCATCTATGCATGTATGCAAGATTATGCATGTATGCATATATGCATGTATATGCATATATGATGTATGAATGTATGCTTGGTATACGGTATACGGTATACGGTATGCATGTATGCATAAATGTCTCTACGGTTGTGAACGATTGTGGAGGTTTCTTTAGCGTTCAGATACGGTTCTTCGGGGTGATGACCGAACATCCTCCTGAACCCAGGTGTTTTGTCGCTTCGAGCTCACCTACCATGTAGTCCAGCCCTCTGCTCCTGTCGCGCAGGCGTGTCACATAGAAACACCTTGTAGAAGGGTCACACACTCTCGAATCTCGATCGATACCTCCCCTCGCCCACATTTATACGCCGTGCCCCAGAAGTTCGCTTAACCGTACTAAATGGTAGTTGGACCGTTGCGCAACGTAAAACACCTAATTGAGCCGCATTCAGACAAACTTTCTTGGGACGCCCACCGGTGCAAACTGCCTGCTATCCTAGAACCAGGCCTGTCGTTTGGTTCTGGCCCCCCCGGACAAATCAGGGTGGCCGGCATATACGACCCTGTATTTAGCAGGGTTGGGGCGAATCTCGGCCCTTTAGGCTTCAGGGCTGGAGTTTTTTCCTCCCTTGAATCATGTTTGGCGCGGAAAATTCTGCAGCCTCATTTCAACTACAAAGCTTACAGCTACACTCTGCAAGTACTACGACAAGGGTGAGTTGAGTTTTTGGCCCAACCACACAACTCCAAATCTGCCAGGTTGGATGCAACCAGGATAGAAACGGGGAGGAGGGGGAGAGGACGAGTTGGGAGGGGGGGAGGGGAGGGGGCTCGAAAGATTCTGTTCCAGGGCTCGCCTAAATTCTACCCTTGACACACCAGGCCTAGGACCCAAATCAGCCCTGTAAGGAATCAGGGCCAGAATTATTTCAACCCATCAATTTCAGATTTCAAGGGCAACCCAGCCCTGGAATTCAAGGTCCAGCAGGGCAAACGCCCTGGTAGCGACAGCCCTGCCTAGAACCATCGCATATGCTTCCTCCCGTGCACCTTCCGCTTCGTCACCGCGCCATAACATCACCCCGCCTCTTTTTCCCTTCTCCGAACCCTTCTCACGAATTCCAAACCTCGCCTGCCGGCTAGACAAGTGAGCTAGCTCGACCTGAGAGTAAGCCTGACGTGTTAGCTCGTGTCCGTGGTTCGGGAATTTGCGACAGCGTGTTTCGGTTCGGTAGGGCGAGAGGACTGGACTATCGCGAACGGCTTTAGGAGGGAACATCCGTCGCTCATTCGCGTTCGTGTCCTGGTAGGTTCGCATTCGCGCCGCAGTGCCGCGAAGCGCGCTGAAGCTGCGCAATTTCTGGCGCGTTCTCATGAGCTCGCGCCGTGATTCCCGCTTTTCATTGTCGACTCAGAGTCACCCCGCTCGAATGCAGTAAGCGTCCTTACAAAATTATGAGAAAACGGTTAATTTAGCGCAAATCTGAGCACATTAGCCCATCGACGCATTAATCAGGCCGGTTGCTAGACTAGTAACTACCAGTGCTACTGTCAAGTACCACCGCGATTATTATCGCTGCTGCTGCCACTACTACCGCCACAATCGCCATGCTTACCACAACAACCATCCATCGAGTGCTCTCGAACTCCTCCATCCCGCACTCTGCGGCCGCCAGTAGCGGCGACGAGTCCGACGCGCGCGATCACGAGCACGAGCGGCGCGATTGCGACCACGACGAGGACCATCGGCACCACCACGAGCGTGACCACGCTGCGGCGGTTGGCGGCGTGCGCTGCTTGCGCGAGGAGCGCGGCGTCCTCGCCGGGGGGGCGCGGTCGCCGCCGCGAAATCGGTCGTTCACGAATATCGTGATTGGTGCAGAGGGGGATGCAGGTTCGTGAATGACGCAGGTTCGGGGGTGGTTTGGTTGTAGAACATGCATGAGCTTTTAGCAAGATTGCCATTGCTGTCTCTCACCGGTTCAGTGCCATCCCATGCCATCCCATTCCATGCCATGCCATCCCATCCATCCAAAGCCATGCCAAGCCACTCACTGCCATTCCATACCATCCCATGGCATGGCATGGGCGTGAAAATGGTGGCCTTTAAGACTATATTGCAAGCAACGGCTGGCTTCCTAATTGTGCACTCCGTGGTTCCTTGTTGGTTGTGCTTGACACATGATGTCATGGCACATGGCACATGGCACATGACTTATGGCGCATGGCACATGACTCATGGCGCATGGCACATGACTCATGGCGCATGGCACATGGCAGCTCGCAAGCACAAGAGGCGTCGAGGCGACTGTGCCTGCCCGCTCTACAGAATAGCCATTTTCTTCGGGGTTTTCTCCTTCATGGCATGGGTGAGCCACTTTTCGCCATTACAGCATGGGAGGGTTTTACAATGCACCTGAACTGAGATTTGAAATGTTCACAGGCATCTCAGATGAAAAGGCACCTGAGCTACACATGCATACTCTGTATGGCATGAGTGAGGTTCCCCTGCTCCTTCATCGCATGTTTTAGTCTCTACTTGCCACATCTCGCTACACTGTTTCCCTAGAACCGATTTTTTCTACTGTCTCCGCTTCGTGGTGTAGGAAACCAACAAACCCGTATCTCGTTTTTTCTGGCTATAAAATTCACATTTCGCTCTTTGTTGCTCAATCCGTCCTTCCTTGATTCCTTCATATATTCGTCCTCCCTCCCTCCCTCTCTCCCTCCCTCCCTCTCTCCCTCCTTTATCTCCCTTCCTCCCTCCCTCCCTCCGTTCCTTCCTTCTTCTACCTGTCCTTCAAATCCAGATCACATACCTATTTCTCACAAAGGACGAATAAACTTCCCTTGCCACCACCTCAATCACAAGCTTATTGGGAAATTCCTGCCGCATACCAAAAGGCATTTGGTTGTGTCAAGCAGCAGCAACTTTTTAAAACGGGGTGTGTACTGCCTACATGAGGTACTTGCAAGTCAATCTATTGTGCTTATCATACAAAAAACGTACGTGTTTCAATCATGTCTTGTTTTAATCATGCTTGTAGGTTGGTCTTGTTTCAAGCATGCTTGTGCTGGCTCAGTTTAGTTTCTCACCAGAGATTCCTATCCACAAATACAGCAGCACCTACAGGTGTTGCAACTTTTACCTTTCTGGGTGAACTGCAGTAGCATGTGCAAATGGATACATGTTTGTGCTGAGAGAAGGTTCTATAGATACCAGTACCCCATATGAGCGTAGGTAGGTTCCATACATACCGGCACCGTACACCGCGCAGGTAGATGGTAGATACACGATACCATATACAGTATGGTATTGTATGTTAATTCACGCCTCTTGACCAGGCGAATCGATGGTGGTAGTACCGCATGAATCACAGCACGAAGGCATAAATTACAGTCTAGCCCTCTGGTGAAACAAAACCACTCTACGGTACACTACAACACAACACATGCACACTGACTCTCTTAAAGTCTGCTCTGCAACCCATAGCACTCCTCTCCACCACAGCAGCCACTCTCCCCCCTCTACATAACCACCCTAACACCCCCAGTCAATCCGCCTATCAACCCCACCCACCAAACCAACCAACAATCAACCAGTCACACCAACCAGCCAACCAACCAACGAACCAACTAACCAGTCTCAAACTTGATTCGGCACTTCCCTGTTGCAGCCTCCCCCCACCACAAACACGCTGTGCGTGGGCAGCGGGTCAAAATGCGCCGAACCTTCCCCGCCTCCCGGCTCGGGCAGGCACGGGTTCTGCTCATCGGACCAGAGCACACAGTCCCCATTATTCGAGTGCAGATCGTACATCCAGTACGCGCATCCCGGGGTTTCCATGCACGCAAGGAAGCACGAGTGCGGCCGCTTTCTCCTGCCTGTGGCAAACGAGTAGAGGTGGCCCAGGTGCGGGTGGTCCCATAGGAACCCTCGTGAGGGGGAGTTGCAGCTCAGCTGAGGGCACTTGCCGCGGCGGAACTCTGGAGAGGACGGTGGAGGGCGGGGTTTGTAGTGAGGGTATGGCAGGTGGGGGTGGGGATTTGGCGGAGTGGAGAGGAATACGGGGGGGGTCGGGGGAAGTGAAGGCAGAGGGAGGATGTTACTGAAGAGCGGTGGCAGAGAGTGGGTGGGAAGAGAAAAGTACCAGGCCCACAACTTTAGTAAAGAATTTGGTGGGTGGAGGCATTGGCTTGGTGGAGGTAGATGGGAAACGAGCATAGAGAAGGGAGGTGAGGCTAATACATGGTACCACTCGGAAAGGCAGAGGAAGGAGGGAGGGAGGAGATGGAAAGTAGGGAAAAGGGGGATGGGAAAGACGCAAGAAAGACAAGAGGGTGGAGAAGGAGGGATTAGAGGAGCAAGGACGGGAGAAAGGAGAGGGGAACCGAGAGAGGAGGGAGAGAACAGGAGGGGAGGAACGAAACGGGACCATACTTTGTGTCATATTCATGGCATCGGATTGGCAAGGGCCACCCACGACAGTCCAGCCAATGGGAGTGTTGTCAAAGCGAGCGGTCTCGGGATCGGATGTATCCTCGGGAATGCACGGGCTCTGATTCGCGCTCCACATCTTGCACTCGCCTGCTTTCCGCACGCCCGTGACGTTGACGTAGCATGGCAAGGAAGCACGAGCGCACGGCGGAAAGAATTGGGTGGGAGGGGAGGAGGAAGGGGGGGAGGGGAGGTGGGGAGTGGGAAGGGGAGAAACGAGGAGATATTGAGTCGATTCGGAAGTTGCCTTGAGTATTCACGGGTTATGCTAATCGCTCCAGAATTTGCGCTCGCATGCAATCGCCTCACCGTCGACCAGCACAGCAAGGCGGCAGGAGGGTATGGGGGAAATTTTATTATGGCGGAAGAGGAAGATTACCACTTCAAGCCAACAAAGGACGGGGTGTGTGAGAATCCTGATACCCACTATTTAAACTGTGAAAACAAAAAAAAAGTAGCAGATTTTAGCATCCATTCATAAGTTTCCAGAAACGTGCAAGGGCCGGCAATGGCTTCCCAGTGGGGTTAACCGCAAGCCTCTCAACCACGAAAATACAAATGAGACGATTAGGTAGAAACCGAGGCGCCTGGCAGTACATTCTAGACACGTTGATTTAGATAAGCAGCAAATATAAGCGTTTCACTTACCGTCAGCCCTAAGCATGTTGTACATCCACCACGTGCAATTCTCCGTCGTTTTGCACAAGTGGCTGCACGACTGCGGCTTGGACGGCCCGCGACCCGTGTACTGAATCGCTAGGTGACCGTTAGGGCCGTCTAAGAAATAACCGCTCGTGGACGCGCTACACTGCATGCTCTTCGGGCAGCTACGGCGGCGCGCCGTGACGACCGCGAGAGACGCTACGAGCATGCAGATGAGCAGCAGCAGTACGTGGCGCTTCATGATTCTTGGCGACTCGGGAGTTCGGTGAACGAGCGGGATGTAAGCTTGTGAACACTACGCGAGACGTGCGCAAACGGACAGGGGGAGAATATTGACGGGTGCTCCGGCCTGCCTTCAACGTACTAAGGTAATCTACAGCGCGCTGGTTCTTATATGAAACGGAGGTATGCAGCGCTGGTTCTTAGACACAGGTCTTGTGCTTGGCGTAGTTGTTGAAAACAGGCATTCTGGCAGGCAGTGAGATCATCCCAGTGCGATTTTGGGGGCAGAGATTTTTGCACTTTGGTGACGAGCTACGAGCTTTGTTGGAGTAGCTCCCAGAGTTCTACACTTACGCTAAGTTCCAAAACATTCAGCAAAGGCGGTACTTCAATTCGCCGAATGCATACGCTTGCTCCATAGATATGTTTTTCTCCATGGCACGCCACCTTCGTGGAATTAGAGTTCCTGCCCGTCTTCCTTTGCCCTCCTTTCCCAAAACAGAGGTTGGTGGAAAACCATCTGGATAAACCTGATTGGCTGCGTGAGGTGTTTCGACATTTGCCCATCACTCGCTAAAGCAGCCACAATAGGACTGATTGAATCGGAGACAAATCCTTCACAAAGTTCAAAACAAATATATGCAAGGAATAAAAAGTAAAGCAAGTGGTAGTATCTATGTAGGAAATTGTAATTCCCTCCTTACTGTACTCGCACTTTAGCGAGTACAACCCGAGGGCCGTGCGCCAGTTCAGTTCGGCCTATATCGTCGCCCCAAACCACTGTCAAACTACATATTTGTGTATGTAGGTTGTAGTGAGGTAGACGGTAGGGAGTACAACCCTTTTAGGGTTGGTATATGTTTCAGTACTCATGCTAGTCAATCCATTCCGCTTGCACACTTTGAGATGGTATGGGAACCTAGCTTAGTCCGTCCCGTCCCGTCGCCTTGACCGTTTCCATCCCGTTCTAGTCGCGCGCGTCCCCCTCTCCCCCCCACCCACAAAGCTGCTGTCAGTCAGCTTCCACGCCCGTCGTCCAGGTCGCAGCCTGTTCCGCCCCAGATATCGGCCCGTCGCCTGCACAGCCCCGCCCTGCAAGGCGCGCAGCCCGCGGCAGCCTCGCGCAGCCTGCAGGCCACAGCCCGCCCCGTCTCGCCCGAGCGCAGCTTGCTGCCGCGCGCAACCCGCTGTGCGCAGCCTGTCCCGTCGAGCCCGCACGCAGCCCGCGGCCCGCCGCCCGCCCAGTCCCGCCCGTGCGCAACCCACAGCCGCGCGCAGCCCGCAGCGTACAGCCTGCCGCAGCCGCGCGTGCAGCCTACCGCAGCCGTGCGCACGCAGCCCGCCCCGTCCCGCCCGCGCGCAGCCTTCCCCGCGCACAGCCCGCCCGGCCCACGCGTTGCCCGTCCCACCCCACTTACTGCCGGCCCTGCTGACAACACCAGCCGCTCGCACTGCGCCGATCACACGTACACCTGCCGCCGCACTCGCACCTGCTGTCCCACCTGTCTCGCATCAACGCCCGTTGCCCCATCCGTACCTGCTGTCATAGGCGTCCCCCGCGGCGTCTGGCAGCCGTAATTGTCCTTCCTACGGTAGATTAGGGTTAGTGCCTCTTCGTGCCTCGCGTCTCTAGACTAGCCTCCCTGGCTGTACTCACCGCCCGATCCGACCATTCCTAGGTTCGCCCTTCCGGCTCAGTTCGTCTCGGGCTTCGTTCGTTCGTACCCTTTCGCCACTAGTCCGGTCGAGCGTTAGCCATGGCGACTCTTCGACCCCTACGTTTCGATGCGGAGGGTAGGGCACTAGAGTTCCTCACCTGTCTCCTCCGCATAGAGTTGTACCTATAGAGTCAGCGCCAGGATGGCGACACGCTCTGGGCGCACGTCTCTGGTGACCTGCATGTCAGAATCCCAACCACTTAGACCATTGGGATAAAAGGGCTTGTTAAGTAGCGGGTCAGTGCACCCATAACCCCCCAGGACAACGAGCCTGTAACCCTTCCCTAGGATCAATCGGGGATCTCCAGTGGACCTCTGACACCCCCCCGCACTGGGATGCCCGAAGTGCACACACTGGGATTTGAACCCGAGACCTTCCCTCTGATACCATGTCAGAATCCCTGTCACTAGACCACTGGGATAAAAGGGCTTGTTTGTGTAGCGAGTCCGTGCGCCCATAACCCCCCAGGCGAACGTGTCTGTAACCCTCCCAAGGATTAATCGGGCATCCACAGTGCAGATCAACTGACACCCCCCCACACTGGGAGGCCCAGGACTGAGCACAGCGGCAACCGCCTGCATGTGCATACCACCGGGATTCGAACCCGAGACCGCTCTGATACCATGTCAGAATCCCAACCACTTAGACCATTGGGATAAAAGGGCTTGTTAAGTAGCGGGTCAGTGCACCCATAACCCCCCAGGACAACGAGCCTGTAACCCTTCCCTAGGATCAATCGGGGATCTCCAGTGGACCTCTGACACCCCCCCGCACTGGGATGCCCGAAGTGCACACACTGGGATTTGAACCCGAGACCTTCCCTCTGATACCATGTCAGAATCCCAGTCACTAGACCACTGGGATAAAAGGGCTTGTTTGTGTAGCGAGTCCGTGCGCCCATAACCCCCCAGGCGAACGTGTCTGTAACCCTCCCAAGGATCAATCGGGCATCCACAGTGCAGATCAACTGACACCCCCCCACACTGGGAGGCCCAGGACTGAGCACAGCGGCAACCGCCTGCATGTGCATACCACCGGGATTCGAACCCGAGACCGCTCTGATACCATGTCAGAATCCCAACCACTTAGACCATTGGGATAAAAGGGCTTGTTAAGTAGCGGGTCAGTGCGCCCATAACCCCCCAGGACAACGAGCCTGTAACCCTTCCCTAGGATCAATCGGGGATCTCCAGTGGACCTCTGACACTGCGTTCGCCTCCTTGCCCTCGTGACCTGCCTGAGGAGCCTACTGACGAGGAGCAAAAGTTCTTTGACAAAGCCCGCACAGCCCTATCGGTGTAGCAGTCCCGAGACGCTGCGGCTCGTATCGCCCTCGGCTACTCCCCGAGTCTGAGGAGGCACACTTCAGCCAGGTTCGATCTGCCCAGGCATGTTTCACTGTGATAAAGGCTCGTTACTCCACTCCCTCCTCCGCTTCGCTTGGTCGCCTGTTCCTACCGTTCCTGGTTCTCGACCTCTGCACGTTTGACGCACTGCATTCCTTATCACCCACCTGCGCTCGCTCGACACTAGCTACCGTGCGTATATTGAGGCCCGGCTTGCGATCCCTCCCCCTCCCATGCCAATCACTATTCACTTCATAGCCACTTGCCTCCCTAACCGCCATGCACTTGTACGCGACGCGCTTCTTCTGAAGCACCCTACTGAGCTCACTATCGATGTCCTTGAGTCCGCACTCAAGGATGTTGAGAGCAACATTCGCTCCGTTGCCTCTGCTTCTGGCGCCGTATTTCCCCTGCTGTTTCAGGGGTGTACTGTTCCACAGCTCCCCACCTTCACTGCATCTCTTGCCTCTACTGCGTCTCCTGCTTCTGACGAGACTGCGGCTGTGTCCACCACAGGTGGACGGCCCAGGGGCAAGGGAGGTAAGAAAGCAGGGAAGGGTGGTGGCGGTGGTGGTGGTGGCGGGGGTGGCGGAGGTACTGGTGGCACTAGTGCGTCTGGTGGAGGCGGCACTGGAGGTGGTACTGGGCATGCGGGCCCGGCGGGAGGGGGTGCTGGTGTGACTGGTTCGTACGCAGCGGCAGAAGCACAGCAGCAGCGGCAGCCCCAGCAGCAGCAGCCACAGCAGGTCCCCAGCAGCAGCAGGGACAACTGCAGCAGTAGGGACAGCCCCAACAGCAGGGACAGCTGTAGGTTAGGTTCGTTTGCCTGTTGCTAGTGTAGGTGCTAGTGCTTCTAGCCTAGGTGCTTGTGTAGCCACTAGCGCAGGTGTACCTTCAGCTGAGGCGTGGCTCTCTTTTACGCTGGACTCTGGCGCGTCTCAGTGTATCTTCCGTGACCACACGTCTCTCACTCCGCTTACTGCTTCGGTTATGGTTGCACTGGCTTATCCTAATTCAGGACCAGTCGTTGCACGCAGCTCTATTACCCTCCAGTGCCTGGATGTCCCCTCTGGTGTTCTCTCTGGTCTCCACATCCCCTCGTTCACTCGGAACTTGGTGGGTGTTGGATACCTTCAGGATCGTGGAATCACAGTCACCTTTCTTGGGCACGGGAGGACTGCGATATGTACAGTCGCTTCCACCGGGGCGCTTCTTGTCACATTCACCAGGGAGTCCCACTCATGTCTCTACGTTATGCACACTGCGTACCCCCAGGTAGCCCCGTCTGGTCAGGTAGCTTCGTCCGGTCAGGTTGCTGCGTCGTGCTCTTGTCGTTCGCTCACCCACCCGACAGTCCTGTGGCACCACCGTCTTGGTCACCCGTCCCTCCCACGCCTCCGCAGCATGGCTTTTTAGCGTCTTCTCTTAAGGTTTAGGGTGCTGGCACTGGAGGTGCTAGTCTTGAGGGTGCTGGAGCTGAGGGTACTGGCACTGGAGGTGCTAGTTCTGGGGGTGCTGGAGCTGAGGGTGCAGGCATTGGAGGTCCTAGTTTTGGGGGTGCTAGAGTTGTAGGGGTGCTCGTTCTGGCAGTGCTGGAGTTGTTCGGACTGGTGCTGGAGGTGCTCGTGCTGATGGCGGTGGAGCTGGAGGCACTGCTTCTGCGGTGCCTGCTCCGCCTCCCCACCACTACCCGACGCAATTCCATGAGCTTCTTCGGCTCGAGCGTGAGGAGCGGGAGGGGTTGGAGCAGGAGAGGCTGGAGCTGGAGCAGCGGCAGCAGGAGTTGCAGCAGCAGCAGCAGCAGCAGCAGCAGCAGAACCAGCGGCAGCAGCAGCCGCAGTAGACTCAGCGGTCACTTTTGCAGCAGTTGATCCCACCTGTGAGTTGCGTTCGGGCCCTTGGTCTCCCTTCCTCCTCTCCATACCACTCACCGCCTCCTCTTGCTCATGGTCTT